ACCACCCCCAGAACCAATTTTCACTCCCTTAAGGAAACCATTGAAAATAATTATTTACTTAATATTTATTGAGTGGTAGCTATATGTCAGGCTGAGTACTATCAAAATAGCAACACAATTTAGTTTTGTACTTTACTATAAGAATTTTGAGCCACAGAACTAAAATGAAAATAGAGATCTTCCTAGTGTTTATACCTAGTGAAAGGCCTAGATCAGTAAATATTTGATGAATGCATGGAGATCGTCAGAATTATAGAAGTGGTAGTTACACAGCTTATGAATGCCCTTTAGCAAGATGGCCAGGCTGCAGAAATGTTGACTTTAAAATATGAGCATAAAAATAAAAAGGATCATCAGTAGCTGCCTTGCAGAGTTGTCGAACCAATATTAAAATCTTCATGTGTGATAAACAAACCTTTCTTACATTAAACCACACAAAAAAAGGAAATGTTGGCTTCAGATCTCAATTAACTCAGAATTTGACTCACTGCCAACCTTGAAACTTGGAATTTTCTAGTTAATTTTCAGGAGGAAACAAAACAAAACAATGGAAAAACTTAAAACTAAAACAAACAGTTCTTATTCAGTAATCTTTAACCTTCGAGTTCATGACATGTTTTGAATATCTGATGAAAGCATTATGTCCTCTTTCTCCAGGAAAACACACAAAATACAATTGCAGTGTGTTCAGTTTGTAAAAACCATCTGTAAACTCCAATTTAATAACTTTTTCATGAAAGGAATATGTAATCCAAATGCAGTTTATCAAGTTTAGTTTTAAAATATTATTTTTTCATTTAAAAATTCATTTTTTAAAAAATATATAATTTATTTCAGAGAGGAAGAAAGAAGAGACAGAAACATCAATGATGAGCGAATTATCAGCTGTCTCTGCTTGCCCCCTACTAGGGATTGAACCAGCAATGTGCCCTGGAACGAAATTGAACCCAGCACCCTCCAGTCCACAAGCTGAAGCTCTAGCCACCGAGCCAAACCAGTTAGGGCTAAGTATTAGTTTTTAAGCTTAAATGTATACTTTATCAGAAGCATTTTTTTTTTGTAATGTAATGTATAGTCTATTTCCAACACATCACTGTAATACCTAAATTAAAACTTCAGTACATCAATTTCAAAATGCCAGGTTGCTACCTTGGTACTTGTCACTACATGTATTAAAATGAAAGAAACAAAGGGACAAGCACAGTCTCAGGATGCTGCTTCAAAAGGAGATTCTTGTTGGGCCAAATGGTTAACATGACACCATGATGTCTTTAGCGGTCACTAATTGGTGGTCTAAAAGGTTGGCGAACACTGCTTTAGAGTATGTTGAGATATATAAGCTGACACTTACTATAACTATTAAATGTAAAAAAAAATTCCCCAAATATTTCAAAATGTGAACAAAGTAATTTCAAAATACTGTGCATTCTAAAAGATAATCTCAAATGATGCATACAAGGCAACTTGGAAAATGTGAAGTTGATAAATATAATTTATTAGTTTTCTGGCCACATTGTGAAAGAACCCTGAGGCAATGAAAATGGTTTCAATAGTACAATATTGAAAGGTACAGTCAAATGGTTCAATGAACTATAAAAACTAATTTTTGAGATTCTGTTTCTCTGACTTTTGTGCCTACTCATAAATACATGCAAAAAAAAAAAGGTTCAAATCTTTCAAAAATATGAAGGAATGATTATTTGTATTAATAAGGAATCAAAAAACTCCAAAACGAATGTCTTTATTATACTTTGTTACTAAAATCTTAGCACATCTTGAAATACTGAATATTGGTTGAATTACTCATCAAATCTGATATGCTGAGAAGATGTATATCACTGCAAATATAGAAAAGAAAAATTTTTTTAAGTTATACATTTGGTAAGTATTATATTTCAAAGTAGTGAACTTAGGAAACTTATTCCAAAAATTGAATGCATCTATCTTTGGGATCAATCTTTGGAGCCAGTTTAAAAATCATACAAAGTCCCTTCCATCATTTTAAACTTGTACACAATGACATTACTTGGATAGGTCTCCAAAAAACCTCAATTTAAACTTGCACATATTGACACTACTAAGATAGTTCTCCAAAAAACCTCATGGCCTATTTTGCTCTCAACAGCCAAAGTCCCGTGAGAAAAAACCTGGACAAGCCTAGGCCTGGTTGCGCCACAAAAAGGGAAGGTGTAAATGCTTCAATAGGGAATCTTGGACTATACACACAATGGGGAATGCCTTAAAAGCAATACAAACCTTGAGGGAATTCTTGGTGGAGAAAAACAAAAAATGTCTGTAGCAGTCCAATCAGAACAAACATAAGAGAGGACTACTTCTCCATTTAGAGAATTTTAAGGCTCAGAGAGCTTAAACTATGTAAAAATAAAGGATACACTTCAGACAGGACTACAGCACCTTTTTCCACTTGTGCTATTCCTCAGGCTCACTCTAACTTACACATGATCATTTAAAATAATCGAATCCCATTTTAAATCACTAAGATTTGCCACGGACAAAGATATTTGAAAAGTACAGGACACAGTCTTACGTGGTTTGGTTCAGTGGATAAAGCGTTGGCCTGTGGACTGAAGGAAGCACATGTCTGGCTTGCGGGCTCCAACCGCAGTGGGGGGCATGCAGGAGGCAGCCACTCTATGATTCTCTCTCATCGCTGATATTTCTCTCTCTCTCTCTCCCTCTCCTTTCCTCTCTGAAATCAATAAAAATATATTTTTTAAAAAGTACATGACACCAGTTATGTGAGGTAATTCTCAATAGGCATGCTGAAAACACTCAGGCATCTATGGAAAATCAAATAGTTGGGGAAAGAAAAACACCTGGCTCATTTGTTTCCCTTCCCCCTCAAACAGAAAAAATTACAGAAATGGTGCCAATTATTTGAAAGTTGAATTCAAGTTTAGACCTATCTGCCATCTTTGCTGTAGCCTCTGAAGATTTACGTCAATACCTATGTCTTTGATGTTCTACCCAGACCGAGCACAGGAATTCCCAGAAGAGCTCCGGCATATTTTAACATAAAAGCCTGAAAAGATCATGATGAGTAAAACAAACAAGCAAAAACCCCTGAAATGTGTTCCTAAATTTAAAAAAATAATCTTTCACAATGACTTTAGAGTCACCCATAACAGGTAATCTGAAATCAGGCCATATGCTTACTGGCAGGATGAGGCTTCTACTCAGTAAAAAGGGGGAGGAGGAGAATACTTAGATTCAGGTAATGTCAAAGTAACTTTTTAACTATGGTAGATTGGAAATGTGTTACAAGTTGATAACTCAATGAGAATGAACAAATGACAATCTCACAATATGGATGAATCTCACAAACAATGTTTAACAAAAGCAAGACACAAATGAAAATGCAAAAATGAAAAAATTATTCTATGCTGAATTCTAAAGCCAAGATAGTGGTGACCTCTGAGGACTGGGCAGTGACTGGAAAGGAAATCAAGTGGGACTTTTTGGAGAACTGATCATGTTCTGTTTATTTAACAGGAATGTTCAGTCTGTGAAAATTCTTCATATTTATATTTGCACTTTTCTGTAGATTTACTATTGAATAAGAATATTTCTTAAAAATACATTTTTTATTGATTTCAGAGGAAGGGAGGGGGGAGAGAGAGAGAAATATCAATGATGAGAGAGAATCATTGATCAGCTGCCTCCTGCAGGGCCCACACTAGGGATCAATCCTGCTACCTGGGCATGTGCCCTTGACCAGAATTGAACCTGGGATCCTTCAGTCCACAGGCCGATGCTCCATCCACTGAGCAACCAGCTAGGGCTCAACAAAAATATTTTTTAAAAGCTGTAAGTCTCACCTTTTGAAAAAGTCAAAGTAGCTGAAGCCAGTTTAGCTCAGTGGTAGAGCGTCGGTCTTCGGACTGAAAGGTCCCAGGTTCGATTTCGGGACCTGGTTGAGGGCACATCCATTGGTTGAGGGCACATCCCCGGTAGGGGGGTGCAAGAGGCAGCTGGTCGATGTTTCTCTCTCATCGAAGCACTCTCTCTCTCCCTTCCTCTCTGTAAAAAATCAATTAAAAAAAATGAAAAAGTCAAAGTAAAACGTTTCAAAATGTTTTATTTTTATTCCAAACAAGATTAGCTTACATATATAAAATGTGTCCATCACTAATGACCTGCCTAACCTTAAAATTTAGCTTTTAAATATTTTTAGAATAATCAGATGTTACAAAGATGGATGCTAAGTTAAAATAATTAAAAAGTTAAAGCAGTAAGTTTACTGAACTATATACAGGGTGGGGCAAAAGTAGGTTTGTAAACCAACTTTTGCCCCACCCTGTATTATGAAATTGTTAATATCAAATATAGTATATTAAAATCTAATACTAACAAGCATAAATGCCTAGGCTCTGGGTAAGAGTAATTCCTACCCTTCTAATAAGAGTGATACAAGTTGAAGACATGGGGAAAACCTCCAAAGGAGAAATACATGAGTGGATGAGTGGACAGGGCTGGTTATTAGTAAGTGAAGACAGGAAAAAATACAGAAGTTAATCATTAAAACCTAAATCTAAAGCAGTACAAACAAAATCCCAACCACACCCACCTCCTCTTCAACTCCAGGGACCTGCCTACAACAGGCAATATGAAGTTCCCTATGGTGGTTGTTGAAATCAGCAAGAAATATTCAGAATTAGCTAGTGTCTGGACCGTGGCCAAGACATGGCAAAGTCTGTGACTTCTGACACAAACACAACTGATGACTTCAATTATCTGCCACCAGAGAACTTTAAATTGTCTAAATTTTCTAAGCACTATTTTTATACTAATGATATACTGAAATAATATATATTTTTAAAAATCCTTTATTGTACATATAGTATTAAAGGTCTCCTTTTCTCCCCCACTGACCTCTCCCCAGCCACACCCACCTCCCACTAAGCAGTATTTTTTAAATTATATTTTTTATTGATTTCAGAGTGGGAGAGGGAGAGATGGAAGCATCAATGGTGAGAGAATTATAAGTTCAACAAACAATTTTAGATTATCTTCATGAAAATCTATCTCAGGAAAATACCGTGCCGATATACTAAATAGTTAGAGTAACACATACTTGAAACACCATAATTTCTCACTCTGACTAATTCAAAAGTCCTAAAGCTAGTTTTAGTATTTTTAAGTTTAAGTTTTATATCAGGACATGCCCTCACAGAAATCGCTCAAAAACTATAAAACCAAAATGTCCACTCAGGAATGAGGATAACTTGTTTTCTTCCTTTTACATTTTCTTTTTCTAAAACGTTACTTTTGCCCCGAAGAAAAAAGGTGATTATTATAAACAAAGAAAAATGTTTATTATCAAGATTCTAAACTGTGAAGCCTAAAAAGGGCATGTTGAATACCTTCTATAAAACCATATTTCTAGGACACTAGACATGTAGTTCATTTTTCCAAAAAACAAAAAAATTCCACACACAGTCGAGGCCCACTTCGCAGCCAGAGACACACAACCTTTTTATGTGGTCTTGGTAAAACTTCAGCAAATGGGAAACCTAGATATTGCAAATGCTCTAGAGTCTAGACAATTCTATCAAGGTAAATTTAGTTCATTTGAATACTAAATATCAGGAGTCCACCAACAGTGCATATAACCTCACCTATACCTCATACATTTTGGTGAAGACTAAGTTGTTTCAGAAGGATTATTTTTACCCACCTTCATGAATTGACAAAATGTTCTTACAATCAAAACTTAGGAATACCTGAAACTAATAAAATTTTGTATGTCAGCTATAATTTTAAAATTCTTAAAAAAAAAAAATCTTTTTGTATCTGACGTCTCAAAATGTCTGTGGTGTCCATGCTGAAACAAGCTTCTGAAACAACCTTACCACATATGATTTAGGCTAACCATCTCCCCCACAGTCTGGAAGCCTCTTAATCATTTTTGTAGACAGAAGGATATGTGATAAAACACACACACACACACACACACACACACACACACACACACACAGCAAAATGCTAATCACAGAACCTAGGAGATGAATATATAAGGCGTACACTAGGCAAGTGTTTGTTTTTCCCAACTGTATGCGAGAAAATTCTCATAAAATATTTGGGTGAATATAATCTTTCAAAGTCTGAACAAAAATACCTATGGCTCGATACAGAGACAGTAAAGCAACAGACAGACTGTCAAATTACAGCGGGAAGATTAGGGAGATGTGGGGGAGATAAGTGATCAACCAAAGGACTTGTATGCATGCATATAAGCATAACCAAAGGAAGCAAAACTCTGGGGAGGGAGGGCATGTATGGGAGTGGGAGGCGGAGGGACAATGGTAAGATATGTACACATATAATACCTTAATAAAAAATGAAAAAAAATTAAATTAAAAAAAAACCTATGGCAACTTCAACCTAACGCTGTGAGGCTTTTCATCAAATCACAGGCCTAGCACTTCAAGCCCCCAAGCACCCCACGAAGAAGCCCTTCCCCTTAAGGCTTTCTGAAGAATAGAACATCAACTGATAAAACTTAAAAGCAGTATTAAAAAATACTGACCTTCCACCCAAAAAACAAGTTTACCTAGAGAGTCATTTTCCAGGAAGTGTCATGAGGATTTAATTGGACTTTTAACTTTTATCACTAAAGTAACTTTGCCCATTACCATTTCACCGACATTTAAAAAAAAAAAAATCCCAAACAGTCCACCTTAAAGCTTGTTAACCTCCCCTAAGTCAGGCCCGCGGAGCCCTCCCAGGTGCTGGGACCTGCAAAACGCAGGAGGAGCGAGCTCGGGGCCGGCGGCTCCAGGTGCGGATGGTAAGCCGGGTCCACGGGCTAAAGGGCTATCGGCCGCGCGGAAGAGGCGAGGAGGAAATGCACGGCCCGGGAGCCGGACAGAACTGAGTGATGTGGAAGGAGGAAGGGAACCCGAGCCGTCCGGGCGGGGAGGACCTGGGGGCAGCGGGCTGGCCGGGCGCCCCCGGCGCGGGAGCTCAGAGGGCGGCCCCGGGCCCCGCCGGCCGCCCCTCCCAGCGCGCACCTCTCGGTCCTTGAGGCCCAGCAGGAGCACCTCCTCCATCAGGGTCAGCCGCGTTTCCTTGGAGTCGCCCTTGTCGTCGTCGTCCTGCTCGTCGCGGCGGCTCTGCGTGTCGTCCTCGCCGCTGCCGCCGCCGCCGCCCGCCGCCCGCTCCTTGTCGGCCGCGCTGCGGGAGGCCTCGGTGCGGCGCTGCACCAGGCCCGAGCTGCGCTGGGTCAGCGAGGACATGGCTCCGGCCGAGGCGCCGCGCCGGGCCCACTGGGATGCGGGGCAGACCGGCTTTCCCTCCTCCTCCCCCGGGGCCCCCGGCCCGGGCTTCCGTGTTAAATCCGGGCGCTAGGACGACGTCTGACGGCAGCGGGGCCGGGGGCAACCATGGGGAGACGGCGGGGGCGAGGCGGCCGAGGCGGGCGTCGGCGCGGCGCAAGACGGGTTCCTTCCTCCCTGCAGCCGCAGCCGGGAGGCAGCCGGAGCTCCGAGGAGGCGGCGGCGGCGCCTCTCCAATATGGCGGCGCCGGCTGACGTCACCGGAGGATGTGGCAGGCCGGCGTGGGGCTGGCCCGAGGGCGCCGGAAGCAGCGACCCTAGAGCCACGCCCCCTCCCGCAGGCCACGCCCCTCCCGCCTCGCGTCGGGGTCGCTGGCCGGTGCTCCCAGTGCTGATTGGCGTCCTCCCGCCCCGCCTACCTCCTCGCTTCTCAGGAAACCCGGGCTGGAGCCAGCAGACGTGGCCTAGCTAGGGGGCATCCTGCCCCGCCTCCAGCTGTGCCCCTCGCACCCGGACACCACCATCCTCGGAGTTGGCCAGGGCCGGGCCTGCGGGGACCCGGCTTGGAATCCCGGGGTCCCCACGAGACCCAGGAAGAACATGGGTCGCCGCGGAGGGGGCGAGGGGAGGCGCGCGCTCGGCCCACTCTCCCTTCTGAAGGAGCGAGCAGCCGCACTTAAATGGCTTAGGGGGGACTTCCGGTGTTTTCTGGATGAATTACCCTATGGAAGAGGTTAGAGCAAATGGACTGGTTTTGTTTGCAACACTGGCCCTCACCTCCAGACTCGTAAAGTGACGAGGAGCGCAGGAAGGACAGTTAGTGCCGCCCACTCCGGTCACTCGCCCTTGAAGAACTTGAGACAATAAACTGTTGAGTACCGTGCCACGTCTTTGCTCACATAAAAAAGTTCCCTCAATTTAATCACATCCTCTCGGAGTGCTTGGCAATTGATGCCAGTTAGGTTGAAGAAGAAATAAAGGTCAAACCCGATTGGAGGTATGAAAAGCCGGGAGGGTGGAGCTGGTGAGTAGAACATCACCTGTTAATAATGGCGTTGTATGCCATCCAATAGTATTGAAAATCAACAATGACCTCGGGCTGTGCCTACAGAATGGTTTAGATAGTAACATAATGTTGTAACAGGACTGAAGCTATCATACATGAAAAACGCCGGTTGTCAAACCGTCCCGTAGAATAGTCTGACTACAGAGCTCTCCCCAGTTCGCAAAACCATTGTCCAAAACTGGCCATACCTGTCAGCCCCCCACGCCCTGGCAATCCAGAAAGCAGAATCTCCAGCGGCGGGGAGGAAGGGCAGGCTGAGTACAAAGTAGACCTTTTTATTTTCCCTATTATCTGGACAAAGGTCAACTTCACCTCAAACAACTTCACCTATTCACATCCTGTTCAGCTTTTTCTTTTTCATCCCCCAACTCTTTCCCAAATAGCTTAAGTAGGTTTCCTTTTATAAGTAATGTAATTAGCCGGAACCGGTTTGGCTTAGTGGATAGAGCCTCGTCCTGCAGACTAAAAGGTCCCAGGTTAGGTTCCGGTCAAGGTCAAGGGCATGTACCTTGGTAGCTTCCAGTGGGGGGTGTGCAGGAGGCAACTGATCATTGTTTCTCTCTCTCTCTTCCTCTCTGTAAAACAATCAATAAAATATATTTAAAAAATTTTAAATGAAAAATAAAAGTAATGTAATTAATTCCTTTTTTTGATTAATATAGTCAAATGAATAGTTGAAGGAGGATAAACATAGATACGGTGTGTGGATGAAAGGGGCCACATGCTCAGGGGAGGCCTGCGTGGCAGTCTTGCAAACTCAGAGACCTAAAGTCACCACAAAAGATGGTCTGAAAATAAACTTTAACTAAAAGCAGTGATGGTGGGTAGTTACATCCTAGGCTGGTATCTTCACTGACAAGGTCAACCTTTGCCTTAACTGAGCCTATCTGTCTTCTTGCATGTATGATAACATATCCTTGAAATGTCTGGGTAACTTGTAACTCCTCTTTTTCTGGACCCCTTGGGGCACAAACCTAACGTACTGGGCACCAGGACAGATACCACAAATTCGTTCATTATTCCTGGACCCACCTAAGTATGTGTCATTTTACTTTTTATCTAATCTCGGGGTTTCCCTGCTTTGCTTTTTCCCCACCCCTCTAGTCTGTCACCAATGGATTTCATGTAACCCATCTATGTCCCTTTCCTTTGATTGCCATGTATAAATACAGATGTAACCCGCTATTCTCGGGAGCATTATCTCAATTCGTTGAGGTTCTGCTTCCCCACATGTGTCAACAGTTTGGCTCAAATACTCAGAAATTCTTTACAGGTTTCAATGTGTGTTTTTTGTTTTGTTTTTTTTATTTTATGTTAACAAGTGAAAATCTTCCAGACCCGCCCTTATTCACCCAGTAGTTCTCCCTACCCCTCCCTTGGTGGTTTTAAAATATGCAAACAAATTATCTGATGCTCCTTCTCTCAAAAGCTGAAACCTAATTTTCCTCCCCAGACTTAGTGGCTTTCTTCAAATGAATAGAACCTGGCAGGTGTGACTGAGTGTGACTCCTTAGATTAGGTCATAAAAGTCTTTGCAATTCTTCCTTGCTCCTCTTTCTCCATCTCCATCTCTCTCTCTTCCTCTCTCTCAGATAATTCTTTTTTTTTTTTTTTTTTACCCCCTTTAAAAAAAACAAAACTTTTGTTGATTGATTTTAGAGAGGGAGAGGGAGAGGGAGAAACAGCGATTTGTTGTTCCACTTATCTATGCATTTATTGGTTGCTCCTTCACTTGATCTTAGCCAAAAGGCCAAGAAGCGATCATTGGTGCCCTGACCAGGAATGGAACCCACCCACATACATCTTTGGCATATTGGGACAACACTCTAACCAAATGAGCTACCTGGTTAGGGCTCAAGATCATTCATTCTGAGGGAGGCCAACAGCCATGTCATGAAGAGATGCAAGCAGCATTATGGAGTAGTCCAGTTGGGGGGAACAGAGGCCTCCTGCCCACAGCCATGTGAGTGAGTCATCTTGGAGGTGGTCCCCCCAGCCCCAGTCATCTTGATTGCAACCTCATGAAAGATTCTGAGCCAGTTCCACCCAGCTAAGCCATGTCTGTGTTTTTGAGCTATAATACAAAAACTGTGAGATATTAAGTATTTGTTGTTTTAAGCTGCTAAATTTGAGGTCATTTGTTATGTAGTAACAGTACTAAGATACTTGGGCACATATACACACAAATAGATAACTAATATTACTTTCTTAGATATCCTTCCAGAATTTATAAATGTATATTCAAACAAATATGAAAATAATATTTTCCTTATTTATGCAGATAATAGCACATTATCCACATTGTTTTATATCTTGATTTCTTTTCACTTAATTGATGTTGGAGAGCTGACTGTATCAGTACTTTCGAACTTCTTCATGCTTTGTTTCAGGTGCCCCAAACCACCATTTCAGGTGCCCCAAATGACCTACTGGCAGTCATTCCTTTTGCTCTCACTCTCATTTAAGGCAAACTTGCCTATTTGCCTCTTCTGTTGGGGTTTGGTTCCTCTTTTTTATTTTCTGGTGTATAGGTCTAGTCATCTCTGCTTTGCACTTTGCTCCAGTGCCAGTGCAAACATGTTCCTCTCCAAGTGCCACCATACTTCATTTAGCTTCATTTCTGTAAACACACTCTGTGTCAGCAAGGAGTGACTTTCTGCCAACTGTCCATGCCACTGTTCCTAGCTGACAGGGCATTTCCTTAGGAGCCGTCTGATCTGACCTCTCTAAAAGAGGAGAGCTCCCTCCCTCTCCTGCCAATGGGTAAAGGATCTTTTCCACGGTATTATCTGCCATAATCTTTCCCCATCTCCTACACACCTTTAAAAGATAAAATTGTCGCATTTTGCATTTACATAGCCCCTTTACAAAAGCTCACAATACTCACTCTCCTGTACTGCATGGAATTTTTATACCTTCATGAGGTTTACCACAAAGTTTTCCTTCCATATTTGTCCCTACTCTGTTATCTTCTCACCTCCAAATTCCCTCCCCATCAATTCACTAACAAAATTCAGAAACTATTCCAGATGAATTTGTATCTGCATAGGAAAAGCTGCTGTTTAAAACATACAAAAAAGCAACAGAGTTCATATACAAAACACTACCTCTAATAAAAATTTAATCAACTAAAATAGTTATTATTTCAACTGAATTCTTTCCACCAAAATAAAATGAGGATGCAAAAAATTACCTTAATAGGTAACATAAAAATGTTCATAATAATCTTAATGACTGGCCGAAACCGGTTTCGCTCAGAGGTAGAGCGTCAGTCTGCGGACTGAAAGGTCCCGGGTTCGATTCCGGTCAAGGGCATGTACATTGGTTGCTGGCACATCCCCGGTAGGGGGTGTGCAAGAGGCAGCTGGTCGATGTTCCTCTCTCATCGACATTTCTATCTCTCTCCCTTCCTCTCTGTAAAAAAATCAATAAAATATATATTTAATAA